CGCACCGGGGCTTTCCGACGGCGCCCCGGGGGCTTCCTGGCTCCTCCGCCCCAAGGAGCTAGCGATGCGCTGGGAAGACCAGCGAGTCGAACGCCGCCCACAGTGGGGGTGCGGGCGCGGGTTGTGCGGGTTCCCAACCCAGCAAGACCCGCGGGCACAGGCAGTTCTGAACTGGGGTGACACGTAGGTCCCGTGGCCCCGCGGAAACCGGAACAGAGGAGCGCCGGGCACCGTTGACACCCCTCTCACTACCAGGGACTTTGGGGCACAGGCGCTCCGCTTATGGTAGTGGGGTGATGGGGTGACAAGTAGCGTATTCTTAGAGATCGGACTCAAGGCCTCTTGTATGGAGGAAGCGGGGCACAAGCGGGGACACGGGCGCATTGCCTTCCCGGAGACGAGCCGCGTCCGGGCAGACACACCGATACCCGGTACGGGGCAGAGCCCCGAGGGCCCTCGCACCGCCAGCGCTTTCCTAAGAGTGGCACGTCCCACCGACACATCGGACGCCCGAGGTGTGGGGTGACACTCTACCCAGAGCCGAGACTCGCGGGTCATCTCTCACCCGGCTTTCCGGACCCCTGGACACGTACACACAGACTTGAAGGATAGCTCAGATGGACGCACAGACGCGGAACTGGAGAACACGCCCCAGGAACACATTTTCTTGTTGGGGGAGGGGTGAGACCCTGAAGAGATGCGGAGACCAGGGCACACGGGGAAGCCTTTATGGGCATACAGTACTGTGTGTGTTGAGAGGAAGATGGGAGTCGACACATTGCAGAGGGCAAGGGAATACCATATGGAGGACTGGTAACATTTTCCTGAGAGGAGAGAAGACAGAGGGAGATAGAGCCCACAGGACATCCTGACATACAGCCCAGCTGATGCCAAGGAAACCACTCCAGTTGGTCTCATAGAAGGGAAGGGGGGCACCCAGACACTAGCTCACATAGTTATTCAGATAAAAGTGGGGAAAAGAACATCTGTTGAGCTCCCACTAGTGCTAGGTCCTTTGACTGCATAGAGGCAGAGCCACTGGAGAGGAGATGTAAACTTCCCTCCCGGCTTTCGGCTTTCTCTTCGAGCTTCTGAACCTGGGAGAAAGCATGTTCAGAGAGACCCCCTCACCCAACTGTGAGACACCCAGTTGTAGATGAACGCACGTGATAGATCAGGAGAGACTCATGAAGGCAAGCTTGTTATCAAGAGGGCTTTCACAGAGTGAGTTAAATGTATGTCAGTGCATATATGAGGGCCCTCCAGAGAAGCTCTTGGTGACAAATACTCAGGGGCGCTCCCTTGGGCTAGAGGGAATGGGCATGCATAGAGAGAGAGATGAAATCCCAGGGATTGGGGGTGGGGAGGAGAGAGGGTGACCCAGAAGCATATAAGAAATGCAAAACTGCTTGCACCCAAAGCTACTTTCAGACAGGTGCATGGGCAGGGGAGAGCCCAGCTCCAACACTGAGTGGGAGGCCCATCTGGGGGGAGCCAGATAGAAAGAGGGGTGGGGGCAGAGAAAAGAAACTCAGCCCTACAAAATGGAGTGATAAGCTTGCCTGTTCCCAGAGGAGGGTGTGGGGAGGAGAATGGCTGTGGGATAGAGGATGTAAAAAAGAAAAACACTAGGACTAGAAGAGGAAGAAGCTAGCAAGAGAGTCCAACCCATAATCAGAAACAGAACCAGGGAACAGAGAAAAACTGGTGCACAGAGGGCAGGCGAGGAAAGGCATTGTCTGGGACACTGGCTCCCCGAACCACCCATGGGGAGCAGCAACAGGAAAACCGTGCAACCATCATACACCTAGAGGTGAAGGGGTATGGTGAGGAGTGGGTAATGATGGCCAGAGAGCAGTGAGGGATCAGAAAGCCTCCTGTCCACCCCCACCCCTGTGCCCACTATCTGCAAGATCACCGAGGGCCAACAGAGCTGACCCAGAGAGTGCTGTTTGCTTTCCTGCCTTAATGTGTAGCTTTCATTTGTGCTTGTTTGCAATTAAGAGTGGATTGATTTGACTCTTAAACCCCCCACATTTATATACCAATGTCTTGTTAGAAATAAGAAATCGAAAATTTTCTGATTTCCTTCCCAATCTTCCACTGTGTTCCTTTTTTTTGTTGGTTTCTGTATTTTTATTTCACATTTTCAGTCAAAGTTACTGTAGGTGGTAGCTTTGTTTGCTCCTGACTACTACTATTGCCTTGTAATATTGTGACCATCTTTTTCCATCTCTGAATATGAATTAATGGGTCTGGTTCATCTGTACAAAGGCATAGGGAAAGACTTTTTCCTCAGTCCTACGTTTCCCTGTGTGGGGGCAGCTAGACTGAGTGAGCCCTGGGATTCTTTCTCTTGAAAAACTGGTGGTAGAAGTGGTGGTGTGCAGCGGGAGGGGAGGAAATATGCTGACTTGGCCTTTGCAACTGGACACTGCCCTGTTCTGGACTTAACCACCTCCTGACTGGTACACATTCATCTCTACCGCAGAAGTAATTTTTAGGAGGCTCAGAACAGCAGGAATTGGGGTGAGACTTTCAACACTGGTAGGATACTATACAGAAAGGATTTAGATTCAGTTAAAACTACCCCAAGTGTGTCCTCAGTGTCCCTCCTCCTGACAGGCCAGGCGGGGACACCTCCCTGGGCACATGAACCATTGCCAGCAATCGGCATCTGAGGTTTTTTCCCCTCTAGTCAAAGGATACTAATTTGATCCTTCCTACTTTCTATCATTATCAGAAGAAGGACTCATGCCTTTTCACTGTAATCGTGTTTTTGAAATGTGTCAGCATGCATTGACAAATTGGGAGGAAGGTTCTGGTTCTCACACAATTCCTGTGCTTAAATAAGGGAGGTGCGCAATGCTGACTACAAGCTCCCTGGGCCTGTCCCTTCTCTTCTCATGGCTCTCTAAGGGTTAGGAATTCAATGGATTGATTTCCTAAATTAAGCATCAGCGTTCTTTTTGTCTCGATTATTTTATCCAAAAAAATTCTTTAAAAAATTAATCCACTTGACCTATGATTTTGGGGATGTGAATTTAGGAATTTTAGGAAGCTAAGATTGAGGCAGAACAAAGAAGCTCTTTAGCTGTAATTAAGTAAATCGACTAGATTTTTAGAGTTCATGGAAGCAAAGTTTTTAATAAATAATCTGAGAATTTGGTCTTCTCATATTGCAATTCCTCACAGCTTCAAAACACAAAACTAATTGACATTCATGCATGATTCAAGTTTTCTTTATTTGTAGAGAAGGGATAAGGAATACTGTTTGGGGAAATCTCATACAGGGATTTCTTTTTTTTTGGGGGGGGGTGGGGGGTGGAGGGAGCATTGTAAACCCAGGGAAGAGTTATAATTAGAATAAGTTGTTTTTCATTCAATATGAATATGGGAGCAGTTTCAAATTGCTTGATTATAAAAAAGTTGTTTTCTTGATTCGTAGAATAAATTCAGATGTCAATACATATTGAAAAGCTGCTTTTTAAAAAAAATCTGTTTAGATGACTTTGAGTGAAGGGACATGTTACTAAGTAAAGAACCAAGATCACAAATTGTAACTTTATGATCATTCTAAATTGGTGTCTATAATCATATGGTCTACATAAGCTCTACATATCTAAAATGAACATATATTACAATGATTACATATTTTGATTGAAAACTTAAAATTCTAAAAATATTTCTAAGCTAATTTCCTCAGTAATGTAGCTGTCTTTATTTTCATTGTTAAGTAATTCATTTGTAGTAAGTGAAACCCCTTACCCCCAAGTCAAACTATATTCAACTCTGTGAAAGATACTTTTCATAAACAATGATGGCACTTCAGGCAGACATGAGCAGACAATTGTTCACAGAGAAAGGAGCCATTGCTTATGTGAAGGATGCCACGGAGCCGGCATCACTGGAAAGTCTAGATTGCCTGGCATACTGGTAACCAATTTGGGGTATCAGGTCCCAACAGGTCTCTGGGTTTTATGGGAGACAAGTCTATGCTGAAGACAGAGGGGGAAAAGAGGACATTAGGACATTAAAAAAAAAAGTTTCAGTTTTTCCACACCACAAGGCATGTGTGCCAATGTGAGCCCCTGTCAGGGATCCCCTCCTGGGAACCAAGAGGGAGGCTTTCAGGACTGGTAGGGAAAGGTGTTTTCTGCCTCAATCCAGCCTGGGGACATTACTTTAGTGGCATTTGTCCCTTCCCCTCCGAACTACAGTGAAATGCCCTTATGTGTTAAAGTAGCATTAAAAAAGTAAAAGGAAATCCTAGGTCTTTATGAAATTTGATTTAAAAATAGCATTTCAAGTTGTAGAGTCATGGAAAATACAGTTATCAAAAAGGCACACATTTCTCATGGCAGTTCCCACACCTCCAGCTTTCTGTGCCTACTCGGTTTGAAACCTCCATTTTCTGCAGATGTTTCCCACTTTGCCAGCACCAGCTTTCCCCTTTTCCATTTGGGTACCTTCTCTCCTGTCTTTGCAGGGTGCAGTGGTTAAGCGTTTGAGCTGCTAACCACAGGGTCAGCAATTCAAAACAACAAGCAGTTTCGCGGGACAATGACGGGGCTTTCTACTCCCATAAGGAGTTTCAGTGTCATCAACCCACCGCGACAGTTCTACCCTGATTTCCATAGGGTCACCGTGAGTC